GTCCGAATGCCGCCCCTGCAAATGTGCTGCCCCAAGCACCGGCTTGCTTTGCTGGTGCCTAGAGCCAGGGGATGTTGTGAAGCCAAGACTGTAAATGGGGTCAAAAAAGAACTAGATCAGTTCCTGGAGGATTGGTCCATCAGTGGCTGTTATCCAGGATGCGCGGGGATGGTGTCCCTCGCCTCTGTTTGCCAGCAGCTGGGAATGGGCGACAGGGGCTGGATCACTTGATGATTCCCTGGTCTGTTCATGCCCTCGGGGGCACCTGGTGTTGGCCACTGTTGGCAGACAGGACACTGGGCTAGATGGACCCTTGGTCTGACCCAGTAGGGCCGTTCCTATGCTCTTCAGTTCTCATGTGTGCCAGGGCCGTGATCACGTGGGTTTGTTATTGTAGGGTTGCTCACAAGTGCCAGGGCCGTGATCACCTGGGTTTGTTATCATAGGGTTGCTCACAAGTGCCAGGGCCGTGATCACGTGGGTTTGTTATTGTAGGGTTGCTCACAAGTGCCAGGGCCGTGATCACGTGGGTTTGTTATTGTAGGGTTGCTCACAAGTGCCAGGGCTGTGATCACGTGGGTTTGTTATTGTAGGGTTCCTCACAAGTGCCAGGGCTGTGGTCACACAGGATTGTTATCGGTCACAGTTTAGCCCCCATGTAGGGGGCGGCAGTTCTATGGGGTGGGGACACCTGGTCACTCTTTGGGGAGACATCCCTGATTTGCTCTGCTTCCTTTCCCCAGTTCTGCCCCAGAGCGGAAGCTGCTTTTCGCCCCAGATTCATCCCTCAGGGGTCCGGCTCTTCTCTAAACCCCATTCCTGGGGTCAGGGCAGGTCTGGGCGTTGGGCCCTGCCCCCCTCAGCGTCCCCTATTTCCTCCAGCCCAGAGCGAGTGAGCAGACGGGTGCCCCCACAGCAGGGGGTGCAGTCCCCCTGAGGTCCCCCCCCCCGTGACAACAGCCCCACTGGGCCGTGGGATGGAGGGAAGGGGGCCGGGCAGTGGCAGCCGCAGAGCCTGGACAGAGGGAAGGGGCCGCAGGCTGGTGGCACAGGTGGCCAGTTCTGGACGAACCGCTGTGAACCTTCGGCGTTCATTGTGGTTACCGGCAGGTGTCTCTGTCGCGCCGAGGACGAGACCTGGCTGACGGAAACCCCTGGGCAGTGGTGGGAGCTCAAGGGACCCTTTGAACCCATAGGAGCATTTTAAAGAGCAGTGGGTTTCCCAGTGGGTCCCTAGGGAGAGGTGGGCGTCAACTCCCCTGGGGCAGCAAGAACTCAGCTTGCTGCGCTTGGCAAGCAGGAGGGGACGGATGGTGCTCTGCGATGTGCCTGGCACGCCAGGACAGACTGGCCAGGGGCCCGCGACTCGCAGCCCACAGGGCTTGGGACACAGCAAACACCTGCGTGGGGTTCAAAGGACTGTTCCTGGCCAGGGCTGGTGTGGGGGGGGAAGAGCGGGTGCATCTTGGCCAAAAGCCACGTCCCACATCGGTCACTGTTTGCACATTTTGCTTGTGTGACCCACCGGTCGGCGTGTGTGTGCGTGCATGGATGTGTGTGCTTGTGCATGGGTGTGTGTGTGCATGGGCGTGTGTGTGTGTGCATGGACGTGTGTGTGCTCGTGCATGGACGAGTGTGCGTGCCTGGGTTTGTGTGCGTGCACACATAAGCATGCGCGTCCCGCTCTGTGCCTGGTGCCCGGCGGCCTTGTCTTCACTGGGATTGCACGCTGGGTGGTAACTCGAGGTCAGGCCCCACCTCCCCTCTGTAAGGACAAGGCCGGATGGTCCCGCGTCCCCTCTCAGCCGGGGGAGCTGCCCGCCCCATCGCGGCTGGTTTGCAGGGCCGGCTTTAGGACTTGCGGGGCCTGATTCGAATACCTGGCGGCGGTCCAGGTCTTCGGTGGCAGTTCGGCGGTGGGGGGTCCACGCCGTGTCTTCCACAGCACTGAAGGACCCCCCGCGGCC